AGTGGCCGCGGGCAGGCGCGGCGGGAGTGAGCGGGAGGCTCCGGAGCCAGGCGGCAGCCGGGCCTCGAGTCAGCACGGACCCGCTCCCCGCGGGAGCCCTATTTCTGCCCCGCGTCGCCTTTGCACCCCTCCTACCCAGCACCCCACGTCCGCAGCCCCGCTGTGCACCTCCGGCTTCCGGAGCGTCAGTCCACCTCCAGCCTTGTCTCCTCGGGAGGTGAAAGGCCGCTCCGGAACTCCCAGGGCCCTTCTGCGGGGCTCTGCGAGCTGAGTTTCCTCCACAGGGAGACCTTTCCTAGGGGCTTCGGGTGGCTCAGGCCGGGGAGTGCGCCGACCTGCGAGGGTCCAACCGTTGGAGGTGGAAGCCAGGCCTCCAGTACTAGGCGGCCCCTGGCAGCTCGCCACTCTCAGCTCTGGCTTAGGATGACAGGGTGCCCAGGGAAGCTTCTGAGTTCCTGTCTTTGGGGAACTGAGTTTAGGCTCAGCAGGGAGTGGCCGGTTTCTGGGGCATCAGAGAATCATTTTGCATTGTGCCTCAGTGCTGCGAGATAAGGTCCCTCTTCAGGAGAGCTGAGGTCAGAAGCAGCCAGAAGTTTGATGGGTCGAGCTAAAGAGCACCCACCTTAGAACTTTGCTCCCTAGCTTTGGCTGTTCCCTTCCATTCCTAGCCAGGCAAAGTCCAAGTCTCTCTACTTTCCAAGTACCTGTCTGTTTTTCTTAGCTAATTTCCTTGCTGTTATCTCCTCTCTCCTTTCCTCTTGGGGCCTCATCTCCCACGATCACCTCTCCCACGCGGGACCACTGTTCTGGGCCCGACTTTGTAGAGTCACGCCCAAGAGCACAGCAGGCACAAAGGTAGGAAATCTCACTCTGCTCTGAGCCCTTGGCCTCCCCTCTTCACCCTCGCGCCCAACGCACCTCTGCCCCAGCCACGCGCTACCCCCAGAGGCCCTGCCAACTCCTGCGCCTACATCTCCTTTCCCGAGCGAGCGACAGGCATCTGTCCTCCCTTAACCACCACTTCTAGCTCAGCCTTCCGCCCTGGAACGCAACCACCGTCCACACAGGCTCCCCCACCCTCCAGGGTCTCCCTGGGAAAGGAGAGTGTTGTAATAGCCGGCGACCTCCAAGCTGTGGACCCTTCCCCCTGGGGTCGGCGGATCGGAGCCTGGAGAGCCGCTGAGAATGCCCGATGCCCAGACAGGCACTCAGGGGCAGTTGGCAGCATCTCCAAGAGCGAGCGATGGCATGCCGGGCTAGGGTACAGGGCGCGCCCAGCTCTGCTCTCCTCTCTCCCTTCCCTGCTAGTGTGGGCGGGAGGCCGAGCTTTCCAGGCCTTCGGGTCTGTGGCCTGGGTCCCGGAAAGGTGGGGGGCGCGCGGCAAGGGCCTGGCGCCCACTTTTTGGCTCGCGCGACACTGATGCCCTCCGGCAGCACAATCGTCCGCTTTGCCCAGTCGCTGTACCAACTTTGAACGTGTATTTGTTAGGGAAACAACATCAACAAAAAAGTTATTAATGTCAAATGATTCTCTCCGGAATCATGTGTTGTGGAACACAAAAGGTCACATCAAAATTCATCTGACAGAAAGATTTCTTAACAGGAGGAGGGCAAGAGCTCCAACTCTCCACAAGGATTTGCCTGAACCTTACAGCCCAGTGATTTCAATGGCTAATTTCTGTTACAAACCCACAAGAAACTTTCTTTTTCCTACTCTGCCGCCGAACTCAGTGGCAATATTTTTTGACGTGTGGCGTTTCCCCCCTTTTCTTGTTTTTAAATAACAAATCCAGATGAAACATTGATGGAAGGAAAAATATATGATCCAAATTTTTATAAAGGGAGGGGAGGTTCAACTTTCATCCACAGGGAGGTTTCCTATTGGCGCCCTTTGGCACACAGAGAGTTAATTCATAACAATCGAATCCTTTCCTTAAACCTCAGATAGGGTTCTAACATTCCAGTCTTTCTAAAATTGGTGACAACTGCATCTTTGTGCGAGGATTTACTTCCTTCTTTTTTTCTAGATGGCAACTCCCCCTTCTGAGAGCAGAGAGCTGTTTGCTTCCAACCAACGACCCTTCCAAAAGCCCAGGTTCTTCTGGCATCAGCCACATGTGGAAGTCCTCCCCCTCAACTTGTAGACAAAGAACTAGGAAAACTCAAAAAGACGTGAAAGAAATAAACTTTAAGATATAGATGCACTTTTACTGGTGTATTAACATTTCAGACTTTTTTTTTTAAAAAAGAAATACATCTTAATTTACCAACAATCAGAATTCAAGGAACAACAAGAGACTAAGATTGTTTTGATGGAATATGATATTGTTTCTAGAACCTCTAACAGCTAAGCCAAGCAGAGGTGTTACCAAGGTAAAGTGAAGTACCATGTGATAAAGTTAATTAACTTTTTTAAAAGGAGGGAACAAATTTCCTAGTTTCCCACCAAACACCAGAACAATCTGAAAATATTCTGATTGTTTATCTCCATAATGAAGCAAAGCCTTAAAGAAAACTAAAAAGCCATTTGCTGGCATTGCCATACTTGTCTCTAGATAGGGGAGTACTGAAATAAAACCATGGCCCACATTTTACAAACATGGGCTAGTTGATTCCCAGGGCTATAGCTGGGTGGCAAGCCTGTGACACTTCTACATTGTTTCCCATCTTAAATAAGTTGTGGGAATAGATATCAGGAACTGAGGTTCTCTTCTACCACCATCTGTCCCCTGTTAAGAGACTCTACATCATTGAAAAAGTTCTCTTCTAAATAGTGAAAATATACAAAACTTAGCTGTACATTCCATTCAGTCATATTGTTAAGATTCATAGTACTTCAAGATGTATCTTTCCTTTTTCTTTTAAATAAACACTGTCCATTTGCCTCACCCACTGAAATATACAGGCAGATCCAAAGAGACTCTCACTTCACCATCCTTCTTTTTCTGTACAAGCTCTATTCTTTACCTCATTCTTTTACTTGTGTAGCAATTCCATAAAATCTAGAACAGTTCTACAAATTGATTGAGAAACAAACAAATACAAATCACAGAGAGGAGTGATAAAAAGATTATTCCACTCCTTTCCCCAGCACTATCCAAGATGCTTCCATAATAAGGAAAATGAAAGGCAAATGGTGCAGCATATAAGCATACATGTGCAGGGACCGATGCATCCAAATGCCATCCTCACCCTCATTGTTGCTGTGACGTTTCTTTATTTGTTGCCTTTGAAGAAAGAGGAAGATAGAAAGATGAATGCCCTGATCCAAGCCATTTCACCAGAAAATTTTGCCAACCAGGGAATGGTAGGAGCAGGAAGAGAAAGGGGAAGAGAAGAGTGCTTTTGTTACTGCCATCTGAAATATAAAGGAGGTTACTTCGTGGGAACCAAGAATGTTTAGAAATGCCAAACATAATATTATTTGTGACCCTTCCCTCCATCTGACCTTCACATAACTTTCCCCCATGATCATTTTCCCCCATCTTATGTCATAAATCTAAAAAGTGACATATTTTAAAGAAACGTAAGAGCTCTATCAGGATGGCTACATTCTGCACTATTGTATTCAGGAGAGAAAAAGTGTTTTTCCTTGTGGCTAAGCCAACATTTTAGAGATGACTACCCATAGATTTCCCCCAGTGGCCATGATAGAGTTTTTTCATAGTAGTATGTATTACATTTCTAAATTGATGTGGAAACTCCTTGAGTAGCTTTAGAATTTGAATGGCATGCATGGGTCAAGGCCAAAATGTGTCCCTTTAACATGGGACAGTCAGTAGCTCCTGTGGCTAAGAACAAAAATGCCTTCTCAAGGTCCACTAAAATGCCCTGCAGAGGGCAGATGCAGCATGTTTCCTGCCAAGAATGGAGGGATATTGACCCAGAACTCAAATCTATACCTAACTTAAACATTTTACCCATCAGCATGTCTTCTGTCACAAAATACTTCTTTCTGTCACTTCTTATTCTGACTATTGATAAGATCATTTGGCTGAATCTATTTGGGACTCATGTAATATTGACTAGGAGTTAGGAAAGATAATCTGATGAAATAATCTCAGAAACTATATGTGTAAATGGACATTTATACTTAAACCAACGTTTCAAGGAGAACTTTAAATATATAAACAAACTTATGACTATCCAATACTGTTTGGAATTCTCACTCATTTTAAAACTGATTTTGTTTAGTGTAGTGTTCCATATAATACTGTTTGAAAACAATCTGTTATTAGCATTATGGCTTGAGTTTGTCCCATAAATTCTCCTCTCCTTTTCTTCTTTTGGAGCCTGTTTGTTTGCAGATGAGAAATAGACACTGTGCTATAAACCACTGCAAAATCTTTGTCTTTTCCTGTAAATCTAACATTACCAGCATATAGGATCTCCTTCCACTGATTTGGGAAACTCATATAGAGCATATTGTCTGTGTTGTTTTTTGTTGAAAGATATTTGTTGATTATTAAGAAGAAGAATCTTCTAAGCCCTGCTTTTCTGCAGATCCCAAATTACATGAGGACATGTAGGTAAAGAACCTAGTTCTGTTGATGCGCTCCAAAACAGCCCAATTGGATGAGATACAGATAACCTGGAGAGAAATGCAGGGACATCTATCTACATACATTTACAGGGCAAACATTTCTTTGTGGACCATGAAATGGCAAACAAATTGAAGCTCAGATCCAATGATCATTTCGATTTAATGCTACAGGCATAGGGACTGAAAGACTTGGAACCGATGCTTGTTTTTGCAAAGAAAAGTAAATTCAAACAGTAGCCTCCATTTAAAAAGATGCCTCTGAAAGTTATAAACATGAAACCTGGCAGTATATGCATAAAATTTATTCCAAAACTTTATGAAGTATAAAGGAAGGGAAGTGTTTTACACACAACTCAACTCAGTCAATATAAGGTCTAGGATTTTTCCCCCTTAAAACTTGGCACTATCTTTAAAAATAAAATAAAGATATTTCAATAATTAGAACAAACTATGAAGGTATTGTGCATTTCCGTTTTATGTAATAATAAAATATTACTTTAACATAAATATATAAGGATCTCTGTGTTTTTATTTTCCCCACAAGCACAACCAAATGTACCAAAACAAAGTGTTTTTAAAGAGACTGAACAAAAAAAAAAAATTACATCCCATATAGATTTTGCTCACCTACTCATTTAAAGCTACAGAAAAACAGTTTCCAGAACCTTTTTGCTTCAAAAGAAATAAATATACATTGAGGCAGGCCACTTAAAAATGATATGAAAATATTTCCCTGGGTAGCATTAAAAAAAAGAAAAAATAGACAAAGAAACATTTAAACTATTTCTGCATTTCAAAAGACAGATATTAAACATATATACATAGTGGTAAGGTTTGGCGGTAACTTTCATCTTAGTAAACCTATGAGAGTTAGAGGAGCCGTAGACACATCCCCTGAACTCTAGCTTCTGGCCTTACCTACTTGATAATAAGTATCTGAAAATTCATTTCCTCCCTTTACCATTGGCTATTTGCCCTGCTCTGGATTGCTTCACTGAAAGCCAGTCCCCACACCTCAGGAACAAGCAGGGTGAAGCACCCCCAGCAGCACCGTGACCATCTCCTCCAGACATTCATTGGGGGAAATGAAGAACAGGCAAATAAATATGCCCATTATAAGTCACCATTTATCTTGCAAAAACATTGAGAATGAAACAATCACAGGTGTTTGAAAAGACAATCTTGTATAAAGCATATTTCCTAAAACCTTAACTACTGAGTGCAATGCTAATCTGATGCTGAACCATAATTTTATGGTAGTGAGAATTTTTTAAAATAAACATTTATCTAATATCTAACCAGAAAAAAAGCCCCAAACTTTAAAGTTAATAAAAAAGTGTCTTCCCTTTTAGTGCCCTTTTGTGCTGATTATTATTTTTAATTTTTAACTGATCACAGTTTACTGGTATTTATTTTCAATACAGTTACAAGTTTTTTTTCACCTATACTTCCCAGTAGAGTCTTTTGTGTTGGGAGTTAACAGTTTTCCATCAAGACAAGGTAAAAAATGCACTTAAAACTATTAACAAAGGAGAGAAAGGAAGGATTGAAAATGGCATTTTTTTTTTCACTTCATTTGGCTTCCTTAGTGAAAGAGGGGGATAAAAGCTGTCCAAGTCTAACTGGTATTTTCTGTAATAAATTACAGGAGAAGAGGGTGATGGGACCCTAAATATGATATGATAAACAAATGAACTAGTGAAGACAAAACCAGTCTACCATCTATGTATGCATGTGGTATTTGTGTGCCAAGAAACACAGTTTATGCATATAATATTAAGTTTCTGGGTTCTTTTCTTTTTGTTCCTTTTTAAAAAGCTATTAGAAGAACAAAGTTTAATTGCTGCTGTCAGCACATATAATTCCTCACAACTAAGTTATTAAAACCAAAGGGAGAGAACTATTCAGGGATCTCTGAAGATATATATTTCTCTAGTTCTCTTCAAAGTGCCACTTTCCTTCTGTTGGACAACTCTGGAAATATATTTAACCTCCACATTTCCTCTGAGCTCTTTCACAATGGGTCCGCCTGATAAAATGAAACAATCAGTCACTCATTATCGATTTTTCTTTTTCTCCCCTCTATAACCTCCCCCAGAAACACTGCCTGAAAATGAAGTTTACTTTGTTAGTAGTAACAAAAACCTATGTTTGATTCTCATTTTTTAATATTTCAAACTAGATTCTTGCTTTGGATAAAACAAATAGATGCACACATTTCCTGAAAGCAGACAATTTTGTATGAAGCCAATCCTCTTGCTTTGGTTAAAAGAGTAAATAAATGTTACACCAATTCAAGGGGGATCTAAAGGCAAGCAAAGTTCACAAATAGTAGGAACAAGGGATAACACAAGAACAGCAGACGTGGAGAGCAGCCAAGAGCTGGCTACAATTCTCCCCGCTGAGTAGAGCAAAACAAAAACAACACCAAAAACGTCAATTACAAAATTTACGGCGGGATCAGAAAAATGTTTGTGAATTTGTTCATGTAAACTTCAATTTTCTTGCAGTGTAAATTTATGTGGTCAAATTTTACTTATATCAAAGATGTGTGTATTTTTTCCTCTTTCCTGATGGGGATCCACGTTAAATAAACACAGCAGCATGTGCCAACTTCGAGCATCGGAAGCTGCAATTTGTGTTTATCATGGTTTGGTGGATTTTTTGGTAATTTATTTAGTTTTGCCAGGTATTTGTCTCAGATTCTTGTTCTCTCTCTCTCTCTCTCTCTCTCTCTCTCTCTCTCTCTCTCTCTCTCTCTCTCTCCTCTCTCTCTTCCTCTCTCTCCCTCTCTCTTCCTCTCTCTTTCCCCTCACTCTTTCTAGGAGACACTACTTCATTGCCTGGGTACTTGCCTGCAAAAGGTCAAAACACATTATTACACCTGCTACCGTTTATAGGATAGTCCAGTGTCTTAGTTGTTTTCCTTTTTCCTTATTTTTGTTCTTTTTAAGGGACGGGGAAATAATAATTAAAAATAAAAAGAACAATCAGAAGTTAGAGAGGGAACAGGGGTCGGGAAAGGACTATGAGCCAAAGGGGAGGGAGAGCCCTGCGCTCTGCCCCTCCCCCGCTCGAGTTCACTGGACGGGCGTCTGCACCCCGTGGTGTGGTGGCGTGTCCCTACTCCCCCCGTACACATCCTCGGCGCCCGGCAGAGTCCCTCCAGGAGGGGTCATCCTTTTCTCTTTCTGTCTCCTGTTACAAAACCAAACTCTCACCACCTCCTTCTCCAGCTGTAAGCTGTCCGCGAGGGAAGTGATCTCCTGGGCCGAGGGCTTGGGGCATTTGAGGAAATGGCTCTCCAGAGCCCCCTTGACGCTCACCTCGATGGAGGTCCGCTTTTTCCGCTTGCGCCCCTGCGCTGCGATCTTGTCTATGCTCGTGGGGCTGCCCGAGGACGAGTCCGCCTCCTCCAACCACTTGTTCAACAAAGGCTTCAGCTTGCACATGTTCTTGAAGCTCAGCTGCAGGGCCTCAAACCTGCAGATGGTGGTCTGCGAGAACACGTTGCCGTACAGGGTGCCCAGCGCCAGCCCCACGTCTGCTTGGGTAAATCCCAGTTTGATCCTCCTCTGCTTGAACTGCTTGGCGAACTGCTCCAGGTCGTCCGAGGTCGGCGTGTCCTCGTCCGAGTGCGGGTCGTGGTGGGCGCCAGGGTGGCCCGGGGGGCCCTGAGGCGGTGGCGGCGGCGGCGGCTGCTGGTGCGGGTGCGAGTGGGGGTGCGGGTGGTGGTCGGCGTGATGCGGCTCGTCGTGCGCGTCCCGCAGGCCGTGGTGGTGCAGCCCCGCCGGCTGCCCGCCGGCGCCCAGCATGCCGTTCACGGTGAAGCTGGGCTGCGAGTAGAGCAAGCCGCCGTTGGACGCTCCCATGGAGGGCGGGAGGTGCGCCGCCGCGGCCGCGCTCCGCCATGCCCCGGGCCCGGGGTGGTGGTTGGCGGCGTGGTGCACCAGATGCGGCGGCCGCGGCTGCTGCTGTTGTTGCTGCTGCTGTTGCTGCTGCTGCTGCTGTTGCTGCTGTTGCTGCTGCTGCTGGTGCTGCGGCTGCAGTGCGCCTGGCCCGTGCAGCTCGTCGCCGCGGCCGCCCTGCTGCACCACCACCGAGGGCTTGATGTCCGGCTGGCCCAGGGGGCTGGTGGACCACGGGGAGCCGTCGCCGCCGCCCCCGCCGCCGCCCCCGCCCCCCCCGCCGCCGCCCCCGCCGCCGCCGCCGTGGGACAGCGCGGTGATCCACTGGTGAGCGTGGCTGAGCGGATGCCCGTTGCTCTGCAGCGCGCCGTAGTCGCCCTGCACCAGGCTCTGCGCCTCGCGGTAGCCCCCCGCACCCTGCTGCATGCCGCCGGGCGGCTCGGCATGCACGATAGAGGCGCTGGAGGTGAGCAGGCTGTAGTGGTTAGACGCTGCGGTCGCCATGACTCTCCGAGCCGGACTGAGCGCTCCGGTTAAAGGAGCCGCGCATTTGACAGTTACTTTTCCGCCTCGGGCTCCCTCTCCTCGCTCGCCCTCTTTCTCGCTCCTCTCTCTCTCTTTCTCTCTCTCCCCCCTAGCGGGCAGCTCCGACGCCCGCTCCGATGCCTTCTGTGGCTGCTCCTGCTATTACTGCTGCCGCCGCCGCCTCCCGCCCGCCCGCCCGCCCTCGCTCTTTCTCCTCCTCTCCCTCCTCTTGCTCGCTCTCACTCTCCGACTCGCTCGGCGCTCCCCCCTCTCCTGCTCTCACCAGCTCTCTCCCGCTCTCTTGGCAGCGCCGGCTCGCGGCGGCACGCGCCTGGGCCCCGCCCCCTCCGCCCCCTCCCATTGGCTCCGCGCCCTTTGATTTACGTGGATACCGCTAGCAACCTCCCAGGCCGGCGCCCCTGATTGGCGCAGAGCTGCCCCCTCCTCCTCCCCGGGGTGCGGAGTCCTTCCAGCCCTCCTCCCGGTACCCCCTGGTGTCGCGATTCACATTCTCCCAGTTCTCACCCCCCTCTCCATCCCCACCCCCGGCTGCCTCCTCCCGCTCTCCGAGGGGCCCCGCCCCCCATCTGTCTCCCAGGCGGAGCAGCCAGGCAGGGGGGCGGTCCAGGAGCTCTTATCGACTGTCGCCACTTGGAAGATTTGGTGTGTGTGTGCTTGTGTGCTTGTGTGTGCGTGTGTGTGTTTTGGAGGGGGGGGTCCACTTTCTTCCCAATAGGGCTTTAAGGGGCGGGGAAGGGATGGAGGAAGAGAAAGACTGGGTCACAAGGAGCCAGCGGGATTTTCATTTTCCTAGGGATACACACAACACGGTCGCTTAGTCCTCGAGCGAGGAGCCAGGCTTACCCTACGCCCGTTGAAGTCTCCTTCCCCTTCGTGCCTACATTTCAGGGCACAGGTGCCTTTCACCTCTTCCCCACGTCACCCCTCCCCTTAGCACAGGCTCTGCCTACAGGCCCAATTGCCTTCCAGTCTCTGGCGGAAAAGACTGGCCAAGAGGCCGAGGCTTCTGAGCGACTCTTGTTAAGGTTCTGAGTTGCCTGTTTTGCACAGTGCTGCGCTCCGAACTGAAAACAAAACTCCAAAAGTCTGTCAGATGCATACTCGGGCGCGCGCGCGGGTTTGGGTTTAGAAAAGTAGGAGCTTGCACCGGCCAACCTTCACCTTGCGTGAGGCTTTAGGTAGGCTGGCCAGGGGTGCGGCGGAACGAGACAGAAGGGGCCTCTCTGGGAAGCCGCACCTCTGGGGCTGCGTGCGCTTCTCCAGAGCTCCTGGCGCCGGCCGGTGCAACTTTTCAGTTCGCCGCTTCCAAAGCGAGGAAGCGTAGGTGAAAGCAGAGGGACTGATGGTAGGGAGCACGTCCTCATCAGTAACTTCTGCGGGCGCCAGCGGGTTGGGGTTGGTCTCAAGAAGCTTCCCTCTCAGCCTTCAGTTCCAGAGCGAGCCTGAGCGCGCGCAGGACGATGCACCGCGGCGCCCTCTCCCTCTGTCCCGAGCGCCAGCGCGTCGCGCCGTCCTCCGCAGACCGGAGCAGGTGGCTGCTGCCGCCCTCGGAGCCTGTGAGCCCGGCAGCGGTGCGTTAGGCGCGGATTCAGCCTGGAGCAGCAGGGCCGCGGGGCAGGGTCGAGTGTGGAGCGGGTACCCTAAAGGGAATCCAAAGTTAGAGCCAGGAAGGTAAAGAAAGATCCCACGGACCTGAGTCTTTTCCTCACTTCTCACCCCTGGCCCAAGCTTTGTGGTAATAGCTTTGATGTTGGCGGCCGCAGGCTTGCGAGGGGAGCCAAATCAACGCTCAGAGGGAGCATTTTGGGCCCTCCAAGCATCTTAATCTAGACAGCAGAATGGATCAGGCCAGAAAATTCATCATGACTAACGAGGAGCCCTGCTCTTTGGGGAGTGGCTGAGCTGTTTATAAATCACCACGTTGAGCACCTGCCCGGGCAAGGCGCCTTGGCTGAGAATTTCCACGTGTCCTGTGTTTATGAGCGTGTGTGTGGGAGGGAGAGAAATGCTTAGGGGAGGGGCGAGCCCACAGGCAGTCAGCAGGACAGACCGGCACCCCCCACGCGCGGACCCGCGCTGCGAGGCTTAGACACACTCACTGTGGCGCTGAGTCCCAGTGCTTGCGCCCAGCTGCTTTGGCCCCGCGCCTGGGGGCTACTATGAATTCAGTTAACTTTGCTTGGTCAGGAAAAAATTTTAAAAAGTCCGAGCCTCAGAGCGCGCAGACGCAGCGGCTGGTGCCCGCAGCGGCTGGATCGAGAGCGAAGGGAATTGGAAGCGGGCGAGGCAAGGTCCTTCGAGCTTCGGCCCCGAGTATTCTCGTCCTGTGGAGGGCACAGGCAGCTCGCCAGCTGCGTCCCTCCAGGTCCGCGGTGCTTTTCTTTTTCTGTCCTCCCGGGAGCTCAGAGCTCCTAAGGTGGGAAGAATCCAACTGCGGTAAAGGGCTGCCCCGGAATCCTAAGCAACTCGCCCCTAACTCCGAGCGCCTTTGGGGCAGGTGTCCGTTTTCCTCTAGATTTAGAGAAGACTCTCTTCAGCCTGTAGGCTGATGTGCTTGAGCAAGAATGAAGTTTTGAGATACATTTCCGAGGGAACTCAGGATGCCTGGCTTTGAGTCATTTAAAAGTCCCTTCTCCCAGTCTTCCTCTGTCCTTGCCCCCCTCCCCAAACTTCCCTTCCCAGCAAAGGGCGCCAGTGTGTGGGTGGTGGTGGTGGGAGGCAGAAGTAACACCTATACATCAAAACTTCCTGTCTGCGATGGGACCGCGCTGGCGATTGAAACTCCGAGATCCTTCCCACTTTGACGTCCCAGGTCTCCACTCCACCCCTCAGCCCCGCCTCATTTCGCTGGCGGGCGTGAGTCCATCGATTCCCAACTGGATGAGCCTGAATATGCCCTATAAATGCCCGGTAGCATACAAAACAATGCCCTACCCTCAGGCCTCAGCCTCCGCACACCCTCCACCCCCACCCCCGAAGCAGGACCAGTCTCGGGGAGGGCAGGGCTGGGCGATCTCCACAACTCTGAGTACCGCCTCCCCCGCCCCGCCCGAAGCCACCTCCGCGTCTGCGCCAATCGCTGGGGGTCCGGTTGGCGCGAACGCAGGGTCCTCAGCAGCCTCGGCTTCCCGGTCTTCCTCTTAGCTAGGCTCCTCACTAGGGCTCCTAGAACCTAGGCTCACGGAGGTTATTAGCTACAGACGCTGGCCTCTCCATAACCGCCACCCCCTCTACCACCGTCGCGGCCGCCATTCTTCGGGCCAGCCCTGCGAGGGCAGAGTCCGCCTGATAGTCTGCCTTTCTCTGCCCGCAGAAAAGCACGTTGAAGGGTTCTCGGGTAGATGCCTCCAGGTTTTGATTTAGCTTATTCTTTTTCACTGTTCAAAGCAGCTGTGCAAATACAGTCTGCTTACGTTGACGTGGAGAGGATTTCAAACAACCCTAAAATGCTTTGAACTGACACATTGTCTTGGTACCTCCCTCGCTCCAGCACAACTCCTGGGGGTCACTCGGTAGGACAGTGGCTAAACCCGCAGTTCTTCGGGGTCTCTCTGCCTTGGGCGCGCACTGTCAAGTCCCCTGGACCCTTCTCCGGGAGGCTGTAGGACCCTGTGAAGAAATGTGATATTGGCGCTAGCCTGGATTCTTCTATAGCTGGAGGAAGGGCTCTACTCAGTCCCTGTCCTGTGCTGGACTGGTATGAAGAAGTGGTGCTAGTCTCTCCAGTCCGGTTCGAAGCTCGGAAAGGAAAAAACCCAGTGGGATCAACAACATGGAAAAGTCACCCATAGAAACCCATATTCACCCCTCACGCTTTTGTGTTCCTTGAGATAGTGAGCCAGGCTGGTTCTGGCAGCAACCACCACTTTGACCCAAGGGCCCCCAAATCACTTGGGGAACAATTGCGGGATCAGTTCACCCACTGTAACCTCAACTTGTTAACTTGTTCATCTAGTAAACACACTGGTGTCATATGTAAAATATAGTTTATGTATTTTTATATACCCGAACATGACAGAAAAAAATCATCCAATCTTAAGCTGGAAACAAAAGTATTAAAGCAGAAGTGAGTTGGCATTCATTTGGTAGATCGTCACTTTTTCTTATTTATGTAGTCTCAGGATAATAGAAATAAGGGAATGGCAGAATACAAAGAATTTTCCTAGGAGATGGACATCTGAGGAGTCTAAGTAACAATTGGTTTAAACTTGAGTAAAATTGCCCTTTGATTTTTGAAAATGTATCCATTATAAGAAAGGATTTTTAGTCCCCTCCTCCTCCCCTTCCTCCTCCTTCTCTTTTACCTTACACCTCCTTTTCAGCCTTGTTCCAGTCATTCATTCTTATTATACTTTCTGTTCTCCTAGCCCCAGCAGCTGTTTGATTTGGTGGAGACCCACTCACATCTGAATGGTACGTCTTTCCAAAGGGTCCACAGAATGTCAAAACTGAGGCTCCGACTTCAGAGCAACTGCTTTAAACAGCCAATCCACACAAAGAGGCAGCTGGCTGCTTTAATGAAAACTGCCTTAAAGCTAGAAGAACTGCAGCCCTGGGGAATGAATTTATAAGGAGAGAAAATGCATTTCAAGTTACCAGTTCTTGGGAAAGACACAATAAACATTTACTTAAAATATAAAAGGCAGAAATTAATCTTTAATTATGTAGCAATACGTTGTCTCCTGAATAAAATAATTCTCTCATTTAGATTTATATGTTACTATCTGGATCTACATTTTGCAAGTTCCTAAAAATGTATCTGGACCCGTCTCAAAAATATTTTGAATAAGTAAGTTTTCTGAAAGTAGAAATCCCTTACTTCATGTATATGATTGGCAATTCTTTGTCCATGTTTCACATCCTAATAATTCTATCTTCTCTACTATGTAAACTAGTGAAATATAATGTTCTAAAGTCAGTAGTATTTGAAATGAAATTATTTGGATTCATGGATATTAAGCTTGCTCCTTCTCATCTCCAAGCTATGGATCTCATCATTAAAAATGATCTGTTCTTTGTAGTCCAAAGGTGAATATTTTATAGACAGGCATGACTTGAAGACTTCTAACACTGTATCACCCAGGCAGTCTAGCTGTTCAAGGGATTACTTTGAGTAATTTATCAAAAGAAGCTTGCTAAATTTTGAGTGGTGAAT